TGTTGGCACGTTTTTCTGGAGTTGAATTCTAAAAGATTGCATCAAAGTTCAGTAGAAGAAAAAGAAAGTCGTTGCCTTGTGTTCACGTCCTCGACAAAACGTGAAATTAGGCACCTTTTGTCGTTCTCGTTGCCGTCGTCGTTGCTTAAGCTCCCTATCAGAACGGAGAGATAGTTTAAATGAATTAATGATATAATAGCTTTTAAAGATAAAATTTGTATAAACTAGTGGTAATGGATCTGGTGTTCATCGCAATTTCATTACATCATTCAAAGGTCAAGAAAGTGTAAGAAACTTTACAAAAAACCCCTTCCTTTTAAGAACTGGATGACGAAACCAAATGGTAAGCTCTGAACGGAGTGGATGTTTTAAACAAAGAATGTTAAACTGAAATTAAATCGTCTTTTTACTAGTGTGTTCACAGAGATCTTGCAGCCAGAAATGTATTGGTCGGAGCAAACTATGTGGTAAAAGTAGCAGACTTTGGATTAGCCAGAGATGTTTACAAAAGCGATCAGTACATCAAAGTTTCTGCGGTAAGTAGCCTTGGAACGATTTGTGTTTGAATTTAGTAAAAAGGCTATACATTGATGCGGCTAGTGGCTGTTAAATCCGTTTCTTGTGTTCCTTTAATCTTGTTTGCAGGGCCTTGTCCCAGTAAAATGGATGGCGATTGAATCTCTTGCAGACAGAGTGTATTCTGAACAGAGTGATGTGTAAGTCCGCTTATATATATTTCGCTCTAAGTTACGACTCACTTGAAGAGCTTCAACAGTACGTGAACGTACGGACTATTTAGAACTTAGGGAAGAAAACAATAGCTATACATCAGTTATCGGTTAACACCGTATGATGAATGTAGATTTTGATCATTTTCATTTATATGTTTAGGCACGATTTCAGGACATAGCCAGACGAAAATTCTTAAGAGGCAACATTGGGAGAAAAAATTAACTGGAGCCCTACATTTTTTGATAACGCCCCCACAAAGAAAGGTGTCTCTACACGTGCAGCCTCGTTCCCAGGGTCTTCTCTCTTTCTCACCTGGGAACGAGGTTGATATACCGGCTACGTGTTCTCGGCTCGGTTTTTTGCGGAGGCGAGGGAGAGGGGGCGGGGGAAAGGCTTTCTTATTTCCCAAAAGGCCAGTTGGTTACCATACTTGAAGATCTTATAACATATATATATATATGCTTTGTTGTCTTACCCCAGATGGTCCTTTGGCGTGTTTCTGTGGGAGTTGTTTACCCTTGGTAAGTTAGCTTCTTCTGCATCTTTTTTGTTGTTATATCGTTGACCTCAATGATGCTTGATCAATTTTTTGAAATCATGATAATTTTTATTGGTTCTATTGCGTATGGTCTGAAACACTTACGTACAATCCTAAAATCGATTTCGATCTTTTCAAATTCATTCTCGATATCGTCAACCTAATGAAACGTTGAACGCCGACGAAAAGAGTGCGTTCTTCATCAGTCAGCTTTGAAAAAAGACGGGACGCGTTTTTGTAACTAAAAGATCTGAGAGCTGAGATCTGCTTTCTGTAAGATTAACCAATAGCTGAAGATTTGGCTGAGTGTTTTCGTGAAAGATCCCTCTTCAGACTTTTTTCATTGTTATTTTTTTTTTTTTGATTTTAAGGTGGCAGTCCTTACCCAGGCCTACCCCCAACGGAAATTTATAACTTCATCGTGGCTGGAAATCGAATGGATCAACCAGTAGATTGTCCTGAAGTTATGTAAGTAATGAATATCCTAAGGATTTAAGGACGATATTAGGTTGTCATAGAAGCGAAAATTTTAAAAAAGAGACAAAAACAGCAAAAACACGGCTCAGCAGAATCGGGGCAAGTTATGAAAAATACTAGAGTAAATTTAATTTTCAATAATTATGAAGCCGACAAGCTTAACTGTTTGCCGTCTTGCACTCTCTTCTTTTCTTATCACTACTGATTGTCCTCATTGACAGGTATTTTATGATGAAAGACTGCTGGGCAGAGAAACCAGCGGACCGACCAAACTTTACCGCTTTGGTGCAGAGGTTGGATCACGTGATTGAATCTAACATGGCTGCCATGGTCTGTACAAACATGATTATATTATCTTCTTTTCGTTTTTACCTCACCTTGCCCCAACCCCATCAATAGCCAAGATGGTTTTGAAGCGCTGGCTCAAACTGTTCAACAAAATGGAAGGTGATAGCAGCTTGACAGAAAAATGAAATTTCTATTTCTTGACCGAGGCATTGTCTTACAGGCAAGAGATGCTCACATGCCGGTAAATCCTCGCTCGAATCAGATGAGGAAAAGGGGAACGAAGAAATACCCAATCACTAGTCAGCTCCCCCTCTTCACCCACCACCACCCCGCCCCTACCCCAACCTAACAGGATGTTGGCAACATTAGCCCAGATAATCGAGTTTTGGACCTATAAATGAAGACTTATTCTTGGATCTATTAGGGTCACGAAGGATATTTGGATCTTGGGAGTGACGAACCAGCACCAAAAGAAGCAGAGACAGATAAAGATGGATATCTGACTCCTCTGGAGATTATTTCTCCTGTTCGCGAAAAGTCGACGCTTTTTATGAACAGTAACGTGAGTGGAAGTAACAAGGAACTGTGTGGAAGTCACAGGAGTGTGGCGAGTGAAACCAAAATCAAGGACCTTCTCGAAGTAGAACGATACACGGAGCTTGGCTTTAAGCCTTCCGGTAGCGCAAATAGTTTGTCTGAAACTATTCTGTGAACAACAAATTTGAGGCTGTGAAGCTACTTGGATTGCATAAAGGTTCTTACGGAGGTGGTGTTGCGTCGAACGGAGATCACCTTCGTGTCACTTGTGGTACATGCACTGAGCCGTAAATAGGCTGACGAACCTGTCAAGTTTTCTTGCCATTTTGAGAGATTCGTAAAGCTTAAAGTGGTATGGGTAAATCCCTCTATGTGAAACTATCATTACCTAGCACTGTTTAGTTTCAAATCAATATCCATCTGTATGGAGGGAAGATTGATACTTCCCAGCCTGAATTACGTCTCAAAGACAGCAAACAGCGCAGTGGTACGGTTTGAATTAATTAAGTTATAGTATGCATGAATTCAAAGTTAAGTTACAATGTTGTTATACTCCCACACGTTCCGCTTCCGCTTTCAGAATGACTTAAACTAATCATCACTCGTGAACCGATTACAATCAAACTTGCAATTCAGTTTAAATCCAATAATATTAATCATCCTGCGTAAACCCTATCGGCAGGGGCACCCAACGACGGTTTCCTACTAAATGCATCGAAAACATTTTTTAGGCTATCCAGAGTACTTTTAGATCTCTAGAAATGCATCCTAAGCGGGGCTATAAAATTTGTATCTGTTCGGTCATCCTAGGACAGCTTCAGTACTTATTTCAGGGGCACCCAACGGCAATTTTGGGAAAATATCTGTTCGGAAGACGATTTGAGATCTATAATTTTCGGAACATTTGCTGTAAAATTTCTTGCTTGCCTGCCTCTCCTAGGATTTTCGAACATCTACAAAATGGTATAATTACCCATTTTTAACGAAATTTTTACCCTAAAAAAAGGCCACCTAGAATTTTCGGGAGCCTTTTCCCGGCTGAAATTTTCGAAAAGGTAAGTTTTGATCCCTATAATTTTCGGATCACTAGACTTTCAGCTAGGAAATTCGAACAGATGAAAAGTTTTTAGGGGATAAAAATATGCCTATGTCTACCGTTTAAATACAAAAATACGTTCAAGAATGCTATGTTAAGTGGGTTTGAACTGTATCCTCGTCGGGTGCCCCTGTTATTTTCCCGAAAATTTTAGATGCAATTTAAAGTTAACGAAAGTAAGAATTTTTCTGAGTCCTTTCTCCATCGCATTTTCGAACCCACAAATTTTAGGTTTCCTTTTTCTACGAAAAATAGCTTAACCTAAGGATTGAAATGCGAAAAATTAAACTTTAGGAAATCGTTGGGAATTTATACGATAAGCTTCGAAAATTGTTCGTGAATGAAACGGTCATCTCCAAGCCTTTTAGCCTTCCTTAAGCTATAGAAAATTCTAGGCAATTTCTGCTTCTCCGAACAGATATGTTACCGAAAACAGTCGTTGGGTGCCCCTGCCTTATTTGAAGGCGAACGTGAATTGGTTTGTTACTAATTAATACATTTTCTTAATCCTGCTCGTATTTCGTGGCTAATTTCAACATCATGAAAAATACGAAGCTATCAAATTTAGACTACAGATATAATGTATATTGGGAGAATGGTAAATTAAAGTCCAAAGCTACGTAGAGAGAGGTCATTAACTGAGTAAACGTTTCAATTCAATTGCAATCGCCCTGTTTATTCACTTTGCCGGCTGCTCCTTTGGACATGCAACATCCAGTCAATCGTTGTTATCAAGCCTGTAAAAGTTGTTTTTTTATAACAGAATGGGCACGATTTTAACCCAAACCTCTTTGATAGCAACCCTAACCGATTTATTAAAATGCCGCAACGTGAAATCATCCACGGACTAAGTCAAAATGTTTCCTTTCTTCGCGCATTCTTCCAGGTAAGGACAGGTTGTCATCACTGTTGTTGATAACTGGGGCGGGGGGGAGGGTACTCCCTTATTTGGCCAATACGGTTATGTGCCGCTGAACAGGTTATGGTTTTCAAGGTCTTAAAATGAGCACTTTTTGTCTTAAGCAGGATTGGGGTTTGAAAGCCTCGTCGGCACAGCTCTACCCAGAGTTCCCTTAATGGCAATCTGCATGATAGTCATCAAAAGTGTAAGGGACTTAATCCTTACCCCCTCCCCCTTCCCCCCCACCCACCCCTCCCCTAGGCTAAAGGGAATGAATATGATGACGGAACTTAAGGTCCCTCAATTATCATAGTAAGACTGTATTTTTAAGGTTGCATAGCCATGACATATATCTGTATATATATCTATATCTAGGATTTTGATCTTTTTTGGAGCGTTTTCTTGTTTGTTTTGTTGTTATTGTTGTTTTTCTGGTTCACGTATGGACCACTCCTTCCACCTATTTGTACCTATCTCCTCAAAATTTAAGTTACAAAGACTGAGCAATAAAGAACAACACCTCCATTTAGAAAGCCGGAAGCCATAAAAGCTCGTTAGAGTTTAGAGTCTTCGCACTCTACTAAATCTTTCATCCTTAACAACATTATCTTTTTCACTTCTTCAATCCCACATTTCAATTCTTGTTCGCCATCATTGTTCAAGCGAGTTTTGATCCCTGCTAAAATTGCATCTTTGTTGTTCATTCGAGCGCAGATCACAAATGGAAACCCGAACTTCTCCTTGTAAAGCTTGTTGTACTGCTTCAATTGTTTTATTTCCTCGGGGCTAAGTGTAGTAATTCCAGCTTGCGTCTGCTCTCTCTGAGATTCGGGTGTTAATGATTCCAAACGATCTGCCAGGTCGGGGTGGCTTCGCAAAATTTCAGCTCTACTATCCTCCGGAAGGTCGTCAATAAATTGATGTAGGGCTCCGACAAAGCTATCAAAGGACGCAAAAGGCCTTGCAGAATATACCCCAGCTGCGCATGAGGGAGTCATCTCGACAACATTGCCAAACTTCCTCAAAAAATCGTCATAGTTTAGTGCGTTTACAGCAGAAATGCTGAATTTGGACGCCATTTTTAACTGATACGACCAAATACGCTTACACGACGGCCTATCCTATGTAGCACGCTGACATGCAGGCTCAAGATTGGAGAAAATCGCCAAAAAAATAAAAGCAAAGAAATTATGGCGATTCACGCACACTTTACCGCTACAGATTTCATTGTATTTTCGTTAACCTTGTTAGCCTCTATGGGTATTGGAATTTTCTATTCTAGATCCGGAGGAGCACAACAAAATAATAACGAATATCTCATGGCGGGACGAAGTATGTCCAGTCTTCCAGTAGCGGTATCTGTTCTGGCTTCTTTCGTGTCCTCCATCGCTATTCTGGGAAATCCAGCTGAGGTGTACGCGTATGGTTTTCAGTACTGGCTTCAATGTTTTACGAACTTTATATCTGTGCCCATCATGGCACTGGTTTTTTTACCCGTTTATTACAATCTCCGCTTGACAAGCAGTTACGAGGTGAGTGAACCGCCGGTCGTATCAGCATAAAACAGTAAATATGTTTACATGTCGTGGCCATATATTTCACCGGTCAAGGCATAGTTGGTCAAGGTCAGTAAATATGTACTGTGCTTTTGCACCATATATAAAGCTAAGGCACAGAACCTTTCTTACGCACATATTAGACTATTTGTGCCACTTTTTTTATTTAAAAACAAGTGTTTAGCGCTGCACTGCATTGAAGGGTCAATAATCGTGAAAGTTCGTGGCACATGACCAGTAAAATAAAACCAACGGATGTAACATAATCGAATCAGATAATCGATACCCATGCAATAAGCCAACGCTATATTAAAGCACGTTACTCTTTCTCGTCCTGTAAGGCTCCTTTTATTTTAAATTGGTTTTGATATAATGTATATACGTATACAAGTGGCACTATTTGCAAGTTAAAACGGTGTAAATTGCACCCTGTTCATTCATCTGATGATCTATCCTAAATAATTATGACAATTGTGTTGTCACCTGAATCGATTTAAGTCCTTTGTTCTCCTTAAAAGCTTTAAATAATTTGAAATGGTTATGATATGATGTATTTTATAATTTTGACTATATAAATAATGAACGGTTTTGTTAAGTAGACAAGAACAAATTGGTCCCTGATCTTAACCTTATTATTTATGACATTTGTATAGTCATCTAAATGAATTGAGATGGCTCAGAAAGGGCTATGGACTAAAAAAAGAACTTTTTTGTTATATTTGTTATGTACTCTAATTTCTGCCAGGGGGTGGGGGAGGGGGGTGGGGAAGAGGGGAGTGGATGGAGAGGGTTATCACTACGGTGGTCTAAATGGGTAGGCTCCACCGAAAAGTGGTACCTTTTTCAGGTATGGATTTCTTACGTTGTAGTATATGAAAGGGAAGGGAAATCTCTGATTTAGTTATTTAAATTATATAATTTATGGCATCAATGCATTAAAGAATACATGAAACAGGAACTCCTTTCCTTTAGAACAGGTGGAAAAAAACTTTTCTCTCTGTATGAATTAACTATTGTAAACAAATTTATAATTTGTACTCAGAAACCCATGAGGGGTTGTTCAACCCCTTATGAGTTTCTGTTGTACTCTAACTTACCAGTATAATATAGCATTTTGAATTCTAATAATAGTTGTCTGGTTATTTTTTCAGTATTTAGAGAGAAGATTCTCCTTCAGTGTGCGTATGTTAGGCTCTGTAGTGTTTGTCATTCAAACAGTAAGTATATGCATGGCAAGGATTTGTTGATTTAAGAGTAAAAGAATGTCTTAAAAGATTCAGATTTTCTCTTTTACCATCACACCTGATGTGCTAAGAATGATAATGGACATGAAGTAATAGTTTTGACAATAAATTTCTTTGAACAAATTCTAAATCATTTTGTTGAATTAACAGGTGTTATACACAGCTATCGTATTGTATGGCCCTTCTCTTACATTGGAATCAGGTAAGTATTGAAGATAAACTGTTGCTGAGCTTCAATGCGTATTGATTGGTTAATTGATGGATTGATTGATTGACATTGAGAGATGATATACTTTTTTGTTCTCTGGCTTGAATTGTGCTGCAAACCTGTCCAAACAGCACTTTGAAATAAGTTATTTATTTAATGTAGTTTACCAGGAGGAACAAAAAGAAACGTTTCAACCATGCAACTGAGGCTGTTAGTGAAACATAGTCAAACATCCTATAATGGACTCTCCTTTATTATGGACAGTTCATTTGGTAGCAAAGATGCCATAACTCATACACCTCTGACCTCTGTGATTAAGGACACCTCTAAAATACAGTTACTTTGCTGTCTCTTGGTATCCAAGTTATTGGTCAAAATTAAATTCAGTTTAAAAATTTTTTAACCTTGGTTGATTCTATATTTCCTTTGTCTTTTAGCCCTTATTATTTATGAATTAGGGAAACCTAGGATAAAAAAAGTTTAACCTGGATTTATACTTTTGACCTGTAACATCCATATTAAGGAGATTTCACTTTTTAAATGTAATTTACTGCTTAAAGTGTTAATTTATGACTGTTATTAATATTATTTCTCTGTCTTTAGTCACAGGCTTCCCATTATGGTTATCCACAGTCGTAACTGGACTTGTCTGCACTTTCTACACCACTGTGGTAAATAATTCAAAAACTCCTTAAAATAGCTGTAGCGAAATAGCTGTACTGTATATGTATAGCTTAACACGTTCACATTGTACTTACAAATGCAAGGTTAGCATAGATGACCGAATTATTTGCAAAAATGTATTTAAAAAAGTTCAGTTTAAGATAACTTTGTTTTAATCTCCAGCTGTTGATGTCTTTTTTCATCTTACTTATACTTCATTTGAAAATGACAGTTTTTTTATTTTTTTAGGGTGGAATGAAAGCTGTAATTTGGACTGATGTGTTTCAAGGAGTTGTGATGTTAGCTGGTCTGACAACAATCATTATAGTTGGAACTGTTAAGGTTGGCAGCCTTAGTGCTGTGTTTCATACGGCTTACAAAGGACACAGACTTGATGTTGAGTAAGTTTGATAACATAATTAAATTACATGTACAAATTCTGCGATGTTATTTTTTCAGGCTCTGTGTGCCTGTCTCTGGGAAAGTTGAAAATGTAATCTAGATTGTGTGTGCTTGCAGTTTCTCTTTAGATCCAACCCACCGAAGTACTTTCTGGGCATTTTTGATTGGTGGTATATTTCAGATGCTTCCTGTTTATGCAACCAATCAGACTGCTGTCCAAAGATTTTTGACTTCCAGATCTTTTAAATCTGCACAAAGGTAAATTTTCCGTAGTTGATAGAATTATTGATGGATATAAATATTATTTTTGTTGTAATAATTTTACAGGAACTAAAAGTCTGTGTGTGAATTCAGATGTAGTTCAGCTGTCTTCATCCTCTCTCTCTCTTTCTTTAGTGTAGGGAGGCAACAGTGTGATACATAAGATGCGCTTATAGGCAAAACGTAAACAAGGTGTATACTGTAGTTAATATTGTTATGGTCAAAATTTGTGTGTCCTTAACAGCAGGGAATTTTTAAATTTTTTTTAGAGCTGTGTGGATGAATATACCACTTAACATTTTCAGCACAACTCTGACAGTTTTAACAGGCCTAGTCATCTATGCATTTTATTCCACTTGTGACCCTCTGACTACAAAGGAAATAAACACAGACGACGAGGTACAGTTTAGTCGTGATTATTCTTGATAATAATTTTTAATAGCAATACTAAATTAACAAGCATTTTGCTTGACTCAGTCATGTGACTGTAAAGAATTATTAACCAAGGTGTTATGTCGTTAGTACTTACAGGTATCACATGACTGTTTTCGCTTTAGATCTTACCATACTTTGTGATAGAAGTACTTGGCAAATTTCATGGTATTCCTGGAGTGTTTGTAGCCTGCTTGTTTTGTGGTACCTTGAGGTGATCTATAACTTTGTTGTTAGCACAGATAATTTTCTCATCTCTCATTGGCAACATAAATGCCCTGGCTCTGATAATTTTCCTTCATTTTTGTTTCCTTGTTCATTTACTCAGTACTGTGGCATCAGGACTTAACGCCCTGGCAGCAGTTACGGTGGAAGACTTTGCTCCTTTGGTGGTACAACATATTCCAACTGAAAGAGAAACATTAGTGTCCAGGTTACTAGGTATATAATAGGCATATAATTTATCAACTTTTTCACCACAGGGATCAATGGCCAAAACTTAAGACCAAGTGACATAATTGCATAGAATGTCTTATTTTACTGGTCACACCATAGGATTTCATCTTAGACTTAAAAGTTAAAACTATCATTTCAATATGCTATGTTCTAAATAATTCCAGACTTCACTGAATTGACAAATGATTGAATTAGCTACAGTGGCTGATAACACCATCCACATGCTAGTGTACAAATGTACAAAAAGGCATCTTTGGGTGCCCGGCTTATTGGTTTTAGGAAGAGGATAAGTTTTTCATGACCTAGAGAACAGGCATTACTCTTTTGTTGCACAAATCTCCACTTTGTGACCCCCACCCCCATATTGAAGAAACTGTTATTAAAGTAACCAAGACTATTTTTATCACTAATTTAATAAACATTTCATCTCAGTTCCCCTAGCTCTTTTTACAGTCATTTCATTTTAATCTACAAATATATTTTTCAGTGTGTGTTTATGGATTTGTTTCTTCCAGTAAAATAAAACCAACGGATGTAACATAATCGAATCAGATAATCGATACCCATGCAATAAGCCAACGCTATATTAAAGCACGTTACTCTTTCTCGTCCTGTAAGGCTCCTTTTATTTTAAATTGGTTTGGATATAATGTATATACGTATACAAGTGGCACTATTTGCAAGTTAAAACGGTGTAAATTGCACCCTGTTCATTCATCTGATGATCTATCCTAAATAATTATGACAATTGTGTTGTCACCTAAATCGATTTAAGTCCTTTGTTCTCCTTAAAAGCTTTAAATAATTTGAAATGGTTATGATATGATGTATTTTATAATTTTGATTATATAAATAATGAACGGTTTTGTTAAGTAGACAAGAACAAATTGGTCCCTGATCTTAACCTTATTATTTATGACATTTGTGTAGTCATCTAAATGAATTGAGGTGGCTCATAAAGGGCTATGGACTAAAAAAAGAACTTTTTTGTTATTTTTGTTATGTACTCTAATTTCTGCCAGGGGGTGGGGGAGGGGGGTGGGGAAGAGGGAAGTGGGTGGAGAGGGTTATCACTACGGTGGTCTAAATGGGTAGGCTCCGCCCAAAAGTTTTACCTTTTTCAGGTATGGATTTCACAAGTTGTAGTATATGAAAGGGAAGGGAAATCTGTGATTTAGTTATTTAAATTATATAATTTATGGCATCAATGCATTAAAGAATACATGAAACAGGAACTCCTTTCCTTTAGAACAGGTGGAAAAAACTTTTATCTCTGTATGAATTAACTATTGTACAAAGATTTATAATTTGCACTCTAACTTACCAGTATAATATAGCATTTTGAATTCTAATAATACTTGTCTGGTTAATTTTCCAGTATTTAGAAAGAAGATTCTCCTTCAGTGTGCGTATGTTAGGCTCTGTAGTGTTTGTCATTCAAACAGTAAGTACATGCATAGCAAGGATTTGTTGATTTTAGAGTAAAAGTATGTCTTAATAGATTGAGATTTTCTCTTTTACTTAGAGGTAGTCTTTCTTCCATCACACTTGGTGTGTTGAGAATGATAATGGACATGAAGTAGTAGTTTTGACAATATATTTCTTTGAGCAAATTCTAAATCATTTTGTTGAATTAACAGGTGTTATACACAGCTATCGTATTGTATGGCCCTTCTCTTACATTGGAATCAGGTAAGCATTGAAGATAAACTGTTGCTGAGCTTCAATGCATATTGATTGGTTAATTGATGGATTGATTGATTGATCAATTGATTGATTGACATTGAGAGATAATATACTTTTTTGTTCTCTGGCTTGAATTGTGCTGCAAACCTGTCCAAACAGCACTTTGAAATAAGTTACTTATTTAATGTAGTTTACCAGGAGGAACAAAAAGCAACGTTTCAACCATGCAACTGAGGCTGTTAGTGAAACATAGTCAAACATCCTATAATGGACTCTCCTTTATTATGGGCAGTTCTTTTGGTAGCAAAGATGCCATAACTCGTACACCTCTGACCTCTGTGATTAAGAACACCTCAAAAATGCAGTTACTTTGCTGTCTCTTGGTATCCAAGTTATTGGTCAAAATTAAATTCAGTTTAAAAAATTTTTAACCTTGGTTGATTCTATATTTCCTTTGTCTTTTAGCCCTTATTATTTATGAATTAGGGAAACCTAGGATAAAAAAGTTTAACCTGAATTTATACTTTTGACCTGTAACATCCATATTAAGGAGATTTCACTGTTAAAATGTAATTTACTGCTTAAAATGTAAATTTATGATTGTTATTAATATTATTTCTCTGTCTTTAGTGACAGGCTTCCCACTATGGTTATCCACAGTCGTAACTGGACTTGTCTGCACTTTCTACACCACTGTGGTAAATAATTCAAAAACTCATTAAAATAGCTGTAGCGAAATAGCTGTACTGTATATGTTCAGCTTTACATGTTCACAGTGTACTTACAAATGCAAGGTTAGCATAGATGACCAAATTATTTGCAAAAATGTATTTAAAAAAGTTCAGTTTAAGATAACTTTGTTTTAATCTCTAGCTGTTGATGTCTTTTTTCATCTTACTTATACTTCATTTGAAAATGACAGTTTTTTTATTTTTTCAGGGTGGAATGAAAGCTGTAATTTGGACTGATGTGTTTCAAGGAGTTGTGATGTTAGCTGGTCTGACAACAATCATTATAGTTGGAACTGTTAAGGTTGGCAGCCTTAGTGCTGTGTTTCATACGGCTTACAAAGGACACAGACTTGATGTTGAGTAAGTTTGATAACATAATTAAATTACATGTACAAATTCTGCGATGTTATTTTTTCAGGCTCTGTGTGCCTGTCTCTGGGAAAGTTGAAAATGTAATCTAGATTGTGTGTGCTTGCAGTTTCTCTTTAGATCCAACCCACCGAAGCACTTTCTGGGCATTTTTGATTGGTGGTATATTTCAGATGCTTCCTGTTTATGCAACCAATCAGACTGCTGTCCAAAGATTTTTGACTTCCAGATCTTTTAAATCTGCACAAAGGTAAATTTCCGTAGTTGATAGAATTATTGATGGATATAAATATTATTTTTGTTGTAATAATTTTACAGGAACTAAAAGTCTGTGTGTGAATTCAGATGTAGTTCAGCTGTCTTCATCCTCTCTCTCTCTTTCTTTAGTGTAGGGAGGCAACAGTGTGATACATAAGATGCGCTTATAGGCAAAACGTAAACAAGGTGTATACTGTAGTTAATATTGTTATGGTCAAAATTTGTGTGTCCTTAACAGCAGGGAATTTTTAAATTTTTTTTAGAGCTGTGTGGATGAATATACCACTTAACATTTTCAGCACAACTCTGACAGTTTTAACAGGCCTAGTCATCTATGCATTTTATTCCACTTGTGACCCTCTGACCACAAAGGAAATAAACACAGACGACGAGGTACAGTTTAGTCGTGATTATTCTTGATAATAATTTTTAATAGCAATACTAAATTAACAAGCATTTTGCTTGACTCAGTCATGTGACTGTAAAGAATTATTAACCAAGGTGTTATGTCATTAGTACTTACAGGTATCACATGACTGTTTTCGCTTTAGATCTTACCATACTTTGTGATAGAAGTACTTGGCAAATTTCATGGTATTCCTGGAGTGTTTGTAGCCTGCTTGTTTTGTGGTACCTTGAGGTGATCTATAAGTTTGTTGTTAGCACAGATAATTTTCTCATCTCTCATGGGCATCATAAATGCCCTGGCTTTGATAATTTTCCTTCATTTTTGTTTTTTTCTTGTTCATTTACTCAGTACTGTGGCATCAGGACTTAACGCCCTGGCAGCAGTTACGGTGGAAGACTTTGCTCCTTTGGTGGTACGACATATTCCAACTGAAAGAGAAACATTAGTGTCCAGGTTACTAGGTATGTAATAGGCATATAATTTATCAACTTTTTCACCACAGGGATCAATGGCCAAAACTTAAGACCAAGTGACATAATTGCATAGAATGTCTTATTTTACTGGTCACACCATAGGATTTCATCTTAGACTTAAAAGTTAAAACTATCATTTCAATATGCTATGTTCTAAATAATTCCAGACTTCACTGAATTGACAAATGATTGAATTAGCTACAGTGGCTGATAACACCATCCACATGCTAGTGTACAAATGTACAAAAAGGCATCTTTGGGTGCCCGGCTTATTGGTTTTAGGAAGAGGATAAGTTTTTCATGACCTAGAGAACAGGCATTACTCTTTTGTTGCACAAATCTCCACTTTGTGACCCCCACCCCCATATTGAAGAAACTGTTATTAAAGTAACCAAGACTATTTTTATCACTAATTTAATAAACATTTCATCTCAGTTCCCCTAGCTCTTTTTACAGTCATTTCATTTTAATCTACAAATATATTTTTCAGTGTGTGTTTATGGATTTGTTTCTCTTGGCTTGGCTTTTCTGGTCTCAAAACTTGGAATGATTTTACAGGTAAGCTCTAAAAATTGCATGTTAGCAGGTGTAAATAATTTTGCAAGCCTGCAAAAAAATGTCAATCAATAGACATCAAAATTATTGTCAACGTTATCTTGAAATAAACCGTAGTTAAATTGCCAAAAATAAATGTTAACCTCATAATAGCTTGTAGACTTGAACTGTGTTTGGGAGTAGGTTATCAAAAGACATATCCACCTTTAGCTAAGATGTATTTAAGTATTGTCTCTAAATTGTCCATTGTTAATAAACAATACTTATCAGATATCCTGATGTACGAAATGTGCATAAATTTGGAAGGTCACTAAGGTCAGTCAAAGAGTCAAAAGTGTACCCCACCCTTCTAAAGAGAAGTTTTGAAAGTAGAGATAACTATGGACATCTTCTGTTGTAAAACTTGCTCATTCAATCTCCCAGGCTTGCCAGTGTGATATAACATATCCTCCTTTATAGAGTTCTGCTAGTTTCTAGCTCCACCAGCTAAATTTTTTTTCCTAAGAGGTTTGGATGCCTGTTGATTTGCTGGAACTTGATAACGTAATTATTCATCTCAGTTTTTCTTTTTACTGTTTGCAGATGAGTGCTACCATGTTTGGCACCACAGGTGGCCCAATGTTGGCTCTATTTTCTCTTGGAATGTTAACAACCCGTGCTAATGCTAAGGGCGTGTGGATTGGAGTTGTTATTGGCTTTTGGACTGTCACGTGGATCAGTATAGGAGCGCTAGTGCATCCTCCTAGATACCCAATGCAACCCATGTCAATAACAGGCTGCCCAAGCAACGTAACAAACTTCAATATGTCATCACTAAACCCTGCAAGATCGTATGTTTCATTGTGCATTAATTTTAATCTTAAGTTAAAAGATGGTTCTTTTTGGTTTTGAATGTATTAAATAAATTTTATCTTTTAACCCGTTATAAGAGTGATCAGCATCAATTTTCTCCTGGTAATATCAATGCTTTGTAAAACAGAGTGGTCATGAGAATTACTGACATGATTATGCAAGATGAATTTGCTTGATATTTTATCAACTTCTCCCCACTACTTCTGTAGGAAATGAATAGGGGCAACAAATGAGAGTTCAGTCTTTGATCTTAGGGGTTAAAGGGTTATTGCCAGCAGCATGCAAGAGCAATAATATTATCCACTGAAAAATTGTGCGAGACTAGGGGCTGATCACTTATCTTTCTTTTACTACCATTGAGGGATTTTTGCAACACATTATTAATAGTTTGTCCAGCGCTGTGATCTTTAGTGTCCTTTACAGAAACTTAGCATAGAAGTAACACTTTTAACAAAGCTCCAAAACACAAAACAAAACTGTCTGTAATAGAAACACAACCATATTAAATACTGTAATGCCATATAGGCACACACCTGTAACAGAGATTGACCTAGTAAACAAGTTGTTTATTTACCATTTTACCCTCAGCATTGAGCCTCATTCTGTTTACGCCATCTCGTTCTTCTGGTATGGAATTCTTGGATTTTTCATCACTTATATCATTGGTTATTTTGCCAGTCTTATATTCAGTGAGTATCTCAGAAGTATCATTTTGGTTTGTGCTACACAGTGGAACCTTGATATACAAACCTCCTTAGCCCTTCTTTATATCGAGGTTCCACTCTGTTACTTATGCTTAATAATATTGTTTTACCAGCTCAGTCAGAAGTTATCATGAAGAGTCTAGTTTTCACAGGTTGTCTAACTTTCAATCTGTCACCAAGCTGAACTCACCTACCCTCAGGGAAAGCAGATGTATTTCCAGCTGTCACCTCTGATGACCAGAAATATGTCTGCCTCCACAAGCTACACTCACCCAGACAGTAATTATTTAGTTTTTCTTTACAGCAAAACATGAAACACACAGCATAGACCCTGCCTTGCTGTTTAACTATAGTACAATAACAGCTTGCTGGAGGCGATTAAAGAGAGGTGGCATCAGCTCCCCTGGGGTAATTATCTTCTTTTATTTCATTATTATTGCTTATACTGCCCGTTTATATACCAAGGTGAAATGGTGAATGTTTTGTTAAACTGGAAGTGCACCTGGCTACCCTAGCCTGTTTACAGGCACACCACTCAAATATTTTGAAACAGATGACACAAATAAGACCTAACGACATTAAAAACAGTTACCCTAATTGGCAGAAGGTAACCAGTTGGCTATTTTCAAGTATGGGTGGGGATCTGATTTTGGAACCCAGTGGCTGGGGCAGGACTCAAACCCTGGACTGCCGGTTTGTGGGTTCAACATGGTGGCCACTTGGCCATGCTGTCTCCTCCTTGTAACTGAATTGGGGATCAAGTTTTCTCAAAAGACTCTGCTGTTTTAATTAAACTACTTTTCCTTACCTATTTTGTCCCATTTACAGAAAGAACAAGAACAGAGCCCACAAGCTATGACTGACTGACTGACAGGAGACTGTAGAGTAAAATTATGACTGGCAAGAGTGACAGACAGACTCACCAACATACCCACACAATAACTGAGCACCCTTTCACAGCAGAAACATATCATGCCCAGACTTTGCCAACATCACTTGATTATTAACACCCCAAGATAGTTTCCATCTGAACAAAAGCTACTCTCTTTTGTTTAAAACCCTGTTAATTCCTTCTTTAATCAACCAACAACCACCTTTCGACTATAATGACAAATGTACATAATTATGAGGTTTACATTATGCTCTGCTTCTCATTCATTGACAACGTTTTGTTAGCTTTATACCTAAAGTTGAGAGTAACTGGAAACTGTATGAATACATTTGCAAGAAAGCTGTATTGCCCTTTGTCATTTTTCTTTCAGTTTAAGATTTTTCAACCCAACAAGATTCTCACAATCAGCAGCTTTTAAAACTTAATAAACCTAGGCATGCTATGCTATGCTGCTATGCTATGCTGCTATGAAATTTAACATTTTCTAATCCCACCATTATCACTTTTTCAATGATAACAGTATTCAATCCCATTACAAGACTTAAATCAGGTCAGTGCTCACTTAAAATAGGGACGTAAACATTTATCAAGAACACTACACTATTTTTTTTAGATTTACAGTATCTCAGGATGATAATGCACTCAATCAACCCTTTACTCAAAGATTTCATCTTTTTGACAACTCAATACAAAATTGAGCACTTGAAAGTGAAAAAGGGACAAATTTTCTGGCTGTTGCACAACTATAGCATCCAGCAGTATTTGGCAGGGGGGGGGGGGTGGGCACATATCCTGAAGAGTGACTGGTAATCAAGTCTATCAGTAAGGCAGGAAGATTTTACTGTGGCAAAAAATGGCAACACAAAAGTTTTGAATTTTTTGCTGGATTGTTAAATGCAGTTTAACAAAAGTTAATGTCATAAAAAAAAACTGAAGGGGTCCCCCCCCCCCCCCCCCCCCCCCCCCCTTCTCAGACATGCATTTCCACCAGCTGACACAGTTGTTATATAATAACAATATAAACCCCTGCAAACTACACACACACCACCTGTCTGCTCTTGTGTCTCCAAGGACAACAATAAACTTTTTGGATATTAGCATAAGATGGTGAATTAAATCTAACATATTCTGGAGAGTATGAGATTGTTGTTGTGTTGGTTGTAGGAGCGTGCCCCGTTTATCTTAAATGAAGAAGATGACAATGTTCAAGAAAGCTAAACAAAGAAAAGACAGTAAACGCTAGGAATGAGTTTATGAAAAATATGCTAAAGTAAAGTTTATATCATACACCGTAATGTCAGAGAGGAGATATTGGTTCTTTGTATAGTGAAAACAAGTTAAAATTAAAACTTAATTATAAAGAAAAAAAAATTGGAAAAATTGGTGATAAACCAACTAGAACTTAAAGTTTATATAAAGTTTAATTTATGTGTTTTATAACAACGTTTTGAAATCATGTAGTTGTATAGTAACATTTTTATTCTAAGTCTTTCTTTGTGCATATTATCAGACGTGATGTCACTAACTCAGTAGGCAATTTTCAAGTTGCCCCAAGCGTCTTTTTTAAAACAATGCCAAGAGCAAAATCTTTGATCTGAAAATAGTTTTCAATTCTCATTCAAATAAACTCATTCCCGCATGAAAGATTTTGCACTAGGCCTTATTTTGAAAATGAGGATCTTTGGTACTCAGAAGGCTTTCTGTGGCCTGCAGGCCCCTGTTCATTAGCATTATTAGGCCCGGGGTTGAGTCTACATGAAATTGTGAGTAAACAGAGTTTAGAGAAATCTCGCCTGAGAAAACAGCGGACATTATGCAATGCCACCAATGGTTTTCGCGCAAAAATGAAGTCTGAGAAACGAGCGCAGAAAATTACATACTGATGACGCATCACTAACCAGATCTGGGTAGTACTTCTGATTGGTCATGCCATGTGGGAAATTTGCTTCAACCAATCAGAAGTACTACTCAGATCTGGGTAGTGATGCATTATCAGTGTAGAATTTCTGCGCTTGTTTCTCAGATGTCATTTCGAGTGGAAACCAGTGAGGGAATTGCAAAATGGTGGCTGTTTTCTTAAGCTAGGAGAAATCCAGAAGCAAACATCATTTTCCTTATCAGCTTATACATTGTATATGCACTTTCAGATGCACAGTATTATTTTATTCATATGACCATGAAATTGTTTTTATATAGACATGTATTTTATTTCATGTACATGGTTACAGTCATTTTTTTTCCGGCTTACAACATGCATGCGCAAGTGAAAAATCAGAGACTTGGTGGGCAATACACTATTACTATTGGGAAGATTTAGCAATGATAATGCAACATTAAATAAGAACAACAAATGTCTGTTTCTCAATTTGCAGCTCTGCAATTGGTCATGGTAGTTTTTAGGACTTCCATACTCCTCTGTCACTTTTATTGCATTATCTTTGCTAAATCTGAACATTTTACAGAAGATAGTAGCAGTAAGAACCTGTGTGGTACATGAACATGGTTCAAGCAAGCAGGCACCCAGCTTTGTGCCATGAGCATTCTGGTAACTGCTCAGAGTGCAGTTTAGAGTGCCTGTTTTAATGCTAAGAAAAGAACTTGAGTCTTAAATAAAAGAAGAGGGTCAATGAAGCCCAAGTTTGTATTCCATTGTAAGATGTGGATCAGACATAACCTCAGAATCGCCATGAACTGAAACACAGGAAAAAATTACTATTTACAAATTGACTTTCACAAACAGATAATAACAATATGACCTTGTTCACTGACAGCCATAAATGGGTTAGGGTTAGGGTTAGGAAACTTATCCTAATTTATATGCCTCAGCAAGGCTGTCCCTTCCCCTTTCAGATTATTTTGGTATTTTATGAAATGGACCATGTGTTTGTAAAATAGCTTTTTAGCTAGGTGTTAATTTATGTTAAAATAAACTGAGGTTTTTTGATCAACAACATTGTTAGTCTATGCAATATATAAGTGGTGCATTGTTCAATATTGTCATAAAAATGGGTTTGAAACATTCTTGTCTAATAGTTTCTGTAATGTGACCAATCAAGAGAAAGGCACTGAGCAGTACTTTCCTGTCATAATGCTTGCTAGGCCTTTAAAAGCCTGGTTTTCACTAGCACATAAGCATAAGCACAAGCACATGTGTAAGCAAGTGAAAACTGGGTGAACATAGGCATAAGCATAAGCTCAAGATAAACTTCTGCTTGTGCTTGTGCTTATGTCGTAGCTTTGACTATTGAAAACTGGGTTGACATAAGCACAAGCATACTGGTAAGCACAAGGCTGTGGACCAATCGTAGGTCACTTTGACCCAGACCTCATGCGAACATATCAAAAGCAATACGGCGGACACTTCGTCTGCCATCTTGTTTATCATCGGGTTGAGGAGAGCTGGTATTGAGAATTCAGTCAAATAGGCCATTCTACGTGTGCGTATGTCCTTTTGCTTATGTTATACGCTACTGAAAACCAGGCTAAAGGAATTTCTTCTTCTTTCTTTTTTTCAAGTGTGACTGTTTAAATATGAATCAGATAGCTGATGAGTAGCACTTTCTACAAATCCTGTAAAAAGTGGCTACAGTATTTTGAGGGTAAAAAAATATTGCAGTTTGTTGGGGAAGGTCTTAAAAACAATCTTACTGTAATATCTAAAATTACCATTCAAGAAGTCTTCAAATCCTAAACTCTCATCTGTACCCATTAGAGTATCTAAAGCAACCATTGAACTTGGCAGACATGGTAACCGTTGAATCTGTAAGTTTATAAGGTGTTGACAGAATTAATAAAAAATCATTATATTTCTCAATATGCTAACCTTCCTACCATTTGAAAAAGTTTGACAAAAATCAATTGCTTAGTTCAGAAGAAGTGACTTTTCAACAAAATAAAAAAAAGATCAGTTTCATCTCTTTCCAATGTGGCCTTGCAATTTAAAATGAGACATTAGGAATCATGGAATGCAAACTTGAGAAGACAGACCAATTATTGTCAGTGAAATACAATAAAAAAAAAGCTGGCTTGAAGAAGTAATTTTCATTTACCTTGGACGCAACACTGCGTTCCATCTGTAGTTTCAATGGAGCTTGAAGTCCTTGAGTGTTCCTGAGCATCTTAAAGTCAAGCATCTCTTGGTTTTGTAAAAACTATGAAATCAAAACAGAAAACTAATACATCTAAACAAATTCAATGATGATGATAATAATAATAATAATAATAATAATAATAATAATAATAATAATAGTAATCCTACAGTGCATGATCAAAACGATTTTGAGAGGAAAGATGCATGTTGAGAAGAGTGTAGGCACTGCATATTGTAAAATAATTATATCTTCCAGGTCGCCAGGTAGGTATACCAGTACAGTATAAATACCCTTGGGAAAGTTTAAATCAAACATTGTTGGCTAATAATTCCTAGTTCTTTTTTCTTTCAAAAGTGGCTTACATTTTTCTCAGTGGCTTCCAGAGGGTGACTTGAGGTTAACCCACTTCTGACATTTGAGAACCTAAGAAATAAAAAAAG